GGGCATATAGGAGCAAGGATAAGAAGCAACTGCCACTTCTTCATTGGCAACCATTATTTTTTTAACCATACCACTTGAGATTATATAAAAAAGCAAAAAATAAATAACAATTTTGAAAGACCCCTGCAACATCAAGTGATCACATGCATCTCAGCCAACAAGACAACAATTAAATCCAGGAATATGACTAGGGCCTTCCACGACAAAGACCGACCAACCAAATCAGATAACTAAGTGTAAAGTGGCCGGGAACGCATATAACATTTTCAAAGAAACACTAAAAGATAGAATGGCAATTGTTATGCTTTTAGGAATTATTTTAGAATTTAGATACCACATGCAGCAGCTAGAGAAGTTTTCAATGCATCAGGATCAATTCCCTTCGAGTATGGATCCCTGAAAAAGAAACCAACCTACTTAAAAATGAGAAACCATGTGCTAAGGAGAAATAGGAAAGGAAATTCAACACATAATTTTTCCAGCTTAAAAAGCAAGCATGTGATACAGGGAAGAAAGGGCCAACAAACGATAGTTCAAGAACCATCCTGTTGCAACTAGCATAGCAACAAATCCCAAAACTATTATGCCTCTTACATATAAATAAACTGCCTTCACTAGCAAGTGTAATTTCATTTTGATGTGCTTTTTGAGAACCATGGAAACTAGATTTAGGCCTTGCTTGGGAACTAGAGTTTTTAGCCAAAAAGTCAAAAAGCCATTACAAGTTATCAAGTCCTTCTCTCTACTAAAAAAGCCACTAAAAAAAGCTAATTCCCAAACACCCCCCTTAGTCTAACAAGCATTTATAAAGCAAGCCCAGTTCGCATTTCATGGCAGTTTAAATGTTTTCCCTCACATAAGATATAGAATAATTATAAAATGGAAGGACTTGATTTCAATTTGTCAGTTGTCAAACTAGTCAGTTCCATTGTCTACAGCAGCTTTTTAACATCATGCTATGGTAAACAAAATTAAATGTATCATCAACATGAAAATCCAAGCTTTCTAATTTGCATGTTGTTTAAAAAGTTAATATGATGTTCCCAAAATAAATTTAAAAATTTAAAATGGAGTTCAGTAAATCATAAAGCAAGGTCCTAAATTTTTTTACAGAATAACATCATACCAACTTGAGGGCCCACCAATGAAACTCTTTGAATGGCCATCTTTCACGTTGATTCTGTCTTGCTCAGATGATTGGATTTCACCTTCCATGTTATTACTCTGACTAACACCACATTCCTCTGTTATCAACTTTAATCTTTCTACATGACGCCCTGACAAATCACCAACTCCTTTCTGATCTACAGATTGGTTCTTGGTCACCAACTTAGCACCAGGTTCATTAACATCCAAAGCAGCAGAAGATGAATGACGTTTAATCTTCCGCAATGCCCTTTCGGTGTTGTACGATTCAACCTGCAGAAGTTGACATAGGAAAATTAGGCATGATGAAGATCTATCAATTCAGTGAGTGACATGGTATCAGAAATGATCACTTTCACAGGAGACAAATGACATCAACATGACCTCTTTTCCGCTCCACACATGAAATGAACTGCTGTGTGAAAAACTGTTATTTCACATTCAAAAAACCAACCCTCATATAATTCTTAATGAAAGCACGTGCACGATGTGTGAACATGCACTTATCTTTAGGGAGTTATCTTAGATGTTAGTAGCAGAGCCTTACAGTGGTGGAAGCTCAACTCTTGCATTCACGTATTAAGGTTTTGTGGATTGAATTCAAACCTAAATTCTACAACTTTCCATAAACCCAACACAAACATGCCCTTATCCAACCCATATGGGTCAGCTAGATCTATCCTTTTTCATCAACACCCTACTGTGCAATGCCCAAGAGATGCTTAGAAAAGGAAAGGAATTTGTTGATATAAGGGAAAAACACACAAGGCATGAATGTATAAAAACTTCATTCTTTAAACTGGGAACTGTTTTTACTAATGAAACATAAATGCAACAGCCAATGGCTTTTTATTTCCTAGGAATCTTGTGTTACAGCCTTGAGTTTATTTTAAGAGCACGCCACCTTCTTAGAAGTGTCCGTGCTTCGAAGATGACAGCAATGACAAAGTCCAAACCCAGCTATATATTTAACCAATCAATAATTTTACATGATGTACAAACCATGCATAATGAAAGAACACATGAATGGAAACAAAATATCCAATAAAAAATTTCTAAAGGGAAAAACTCACAGCATTCTTAATCTTGCTTGTGACATCAGCAGCCTTCACAGAAGCAATTCTTAAACACTGCATAATGACACTCTGCATGACACCCGCTCCTCCAGCTTTTTGAATTGCACAAACATCCCCATTTGTATTAAGTGTAGCAATCATTCTTCCACTCATAACAGCCTCTTCATTATGGGTTGGGTCTATTACCTAGGCAACACTAATTATATTAGAAAGCAAACCTAACATCTGGAACTGAATAATAAATGAATTTTCTTTCATAAGTAGAGACCGAAATACTTTTAGGAGTCAATTTGCCTACCACAATGTTATCATTACCGAAAAACCCAAAGGTTACTGCTATGGGGAGATGATGTATTATCAAAGGAAGTGGCTCCCTCACCTGTCAAAAAAGAAATAAATGTTAAACCACATATACGTTAAAGATGTATAGGGAAGAACAATTCGTGATAGGTACCAAAATGATTTAATAGCCCACTAGGAAAGAGAGACATCTTGTGTAATTACTTCATTGCAAATATTTTTAATCATTAATAACGGCATTACATGGACTAAAGCTACACCAAACATTCTAGCATAGATTCTCAACATAAAATAAAATAAAAAGCATAAGAAATCTCAATAAGCTACACCAAACAAACTCAATTAAGACTCAAATCAATAACAAAATTAGTTACACTGCAGTGAAATCAACTAAAATAATCAAGCTTTAGTAACATTGCCCTTTATAGGCCATAGACATACACTCCAAATTGTGTCTACAGCCAAGTTGCAGCCTTACAAGACCAGGGTGGCAGATCCTGAATGTTTGAATTTTTAACTGCTCTGTTGATTTATCAGAAAATCAATCAATTACAGTTACATGAAAAGATTAGTTGCACAGGTATAAAGAGACACAGAATATATTTTGGGACTACAATAAAGACTTGCTGAATTTGCGAGGCAAGCAAGTTTCTTAGGTAATTGAAACATCACATTGTGGGCCTAAAATCAGAACATTCTTACATATGTTTACAGTTATCATTTAAAAAACTAAGGTTAAATGTTTACAACATCAAGTACATTGAAATCTTATTTCTAAAAAGAACATAAATAAGTGAAGCAGCGGACCTCAGGTTGATGAATTATCACTTCCTGACCATCTTCTCCACCTAATGTACATTCAGGCCGCCGGAATGTCATGAGAGCAGCCAAAGCAGCAATATTGGCAGCATCAACAAGATTTCTGTTTTCATGATCAAGAAAGAGGAAAAGATTGTCAGGCTGACATAAAGTCAAAAAAAATAGAAGATATTGACTTGGATTTACAAATATATTACAATTTACCCCCCATTGTCTAGAATGTGAAGATCAAGGCGAATGGCCCACACTAGCTTCCCAGCGATAACACAAAGTGATTCCATGTCTACAGCTCGACTTTCCCTGCAAGATATTTCATTTCAATACAAAACCCTACCGAATATGTTTACAATAGGCATAATAGGAAGTCATTACTTAAAAGCAAGTTTTGCATTCATATGTTATTAACTACTAACTAGTGAATTTAAAACTATAAAATAAAAATTTACAATTTTCAAGCAATTTATGGTTGTGATTCTTTACAAATTGTAAGAATCAACGAGAAAAAAGAAAGAAAGAAAAGATCTTGAGCATATTCAAAATAACATGATTTCATTGGATTATTATTTTATTTTTTTTGGTTTGATCAACAACAAAGCATGATTTCATCATAATGAACAAGAACATGCACCGAAATTCCGAAATTTTGGGATCTTTCATGATTGCCAAATGCTTTCATAAGCTCCCGTGTCAAAACTATTTGGAGAAAAAGGCTTTAAGAGCTTAGCCACACAAAAAAAATAACTAAATAAATAGAATTACCCTTGAGCATGGCCCATTCTGTTTCTGAAAAATTAAATGTGTATACAAAGATAAGAATAAAAATAAAAAACACCTCAAACCACGGTCTATCATACGTCCCAACTCCACAGCAGCTTCTCCAGGACGACCTGCTTCAAAGGAAGGATCAGCCATTGGAGAGAACTCGGTGAATATTGAAAGGGACCCTTCATTTGGCCTATCTCGATAAGGTTGAGCTAGTTGGGAAGTTACAAAACCCATAACATGAGTCTGACCAAGCTGCACCTCTGATGAACCATCTTCCCTGCAAATTGTGGCATAATTTTAAGGCTATCCATTTGCACAATTGTCTCATTTCAACAAGAAAGAAGGGCAATGTCGAAGCCACAATAGCAACAATACCAAATGCAACGATAATAATAAAAAATTTAATCATCCAAGAACTCTAGGGTTTGATTTGATAAACAAAATAACATCATCCATCAAAGCAGCTAGGAGGATTTCACACATACACTGATTATTGAACAAAAGAACTGGGTCCTTAAACCAACCATTCAAAACATTTGGGAGAAGTAGCAGTTGACTAATTAAATCATTGGCAAATCTCTTCCCAAATCAATTGACATACACAAACAAAAGCATCTTAATCTCTAGAGGCTAAAACACAGCTGCACAGCTTTATAAATCTCCATTAACATAAGACAGACTGCCACATTAACAATTCTTACCTACCAAACTTGATAATAAGCCGTCTATAATCAAATGGACGGCGACCATCAACTCTAAGGTCCGATAGTAAAGCAGTCTCGATGAATTTCTTCTCATTGACAGTCATCCGCCAGGTATTAGCCAATCTCTGCTCCATTTTTAATTCTGCAAAAAGTAACCCCCAAACCAAACCAAACCAAACATATTCAACATATACGTACAACAATATACAATGCAAGCAAGCATGCATCCAATACAAATGTAAACAAGTAATTTCTAAATAGTTCTGCACGGCATCTCCAATCCTTGACTCAAACCCTATATATCAAATTTATAAATTTGGCTAAAAATCGCCCTCCTTTATTCAAACTCGTACCAAATTGAATCAAATTTATAACTCTGTCATTACTGATGCGTTTAATCAAAGTTTAAAGGAAAGAACACAATAATTCAAAATATTAGAGAGGGCGGGTTGGGTCAGGGACTCACTGACTCAGAGGAGGTGGTGGCGGGAAGTGGCGAAGTAGGAGGAGATTGCAGTACTTGGTGCCGGAGAAAATTCGTCCGATAAGCTGTGTCGTTTACGAATTTCGAACGGAGTGAGAGGTGAGGCCTTGAAACCGAACGACTGAAGGTGAGAGGTGAGGGAATGAGAGAACCCTAACCCCAATGACAATATATATGTATATATATGGCCTTATAAACCGGCGGCGAGATGTGAGGCCATCGGCGGCGTGAGCAGGGAGAGGGGTAAGGGGAGGCGAGAGCCGCTGTCTCTATCACTAATCTGATTTGAGAGAGTGTAAGCGAATTAGGTTTACACTATGTTTGGTAACTAGGAGAGAAGTAAATGAATTGAATCCTTCAGTTATTTTTCTCTTATTTTTATTTGAATAAATAAGAAATCTATACCATTTATCTATCTATCTATCAGCAAATATAGCAGATGCTCACAGACTCTTAATTATTTAATCTTAATTTTTCATAATTTTGAGAGAAAAATAAAAATTAAGGTGGCACTTCTCTCTTACTCACCTTGTTTTTTCTAGCCAAATCCCTCCTTATATATAATTACATTTTTGTTTCAACCTCACACTACTTCTCACAAAAAAATATAAACAAATATAGTAAAAGCTCACAGACTCTCAATTATTTAATCCTAATTTCTCATAATTTTGAGAGGGAAAAGAAAAATGAGGTGACACTTCTTCCTCTCTCACTTTGTTTTTTCTAGCCAAAAAAAGAGAAGAGAAGAAAATTCACATGAAATATATAAGAAAAAAATATATATTTATCACTTTAAATAAATTAAAATTTTTAAACTCTTATCACCTCTTTCTCTTATCTCAATTAAAGTACCCTCCTTTCACGTGACTTCCTCTCTCACATGTCTTTTCCTCCTTATATATAGTTACATTTTTATTTCAATCTTACACTGCTTCTCACAAAAAAATAAAAATATGACTGTATATCTCTTCCAAAAAACTCCATGGCCATTTCATAAGAAAGTCAGATTGGTACTTCCTAAATGGCCATTCTGTAAAAAAAATTAGAAATTGGTATATATGATATAACAGAGGTTGCCATTACTTTATTTTTATTTATTTTTTAAGCTATTTTCCAAGTTTTTGAGTTATATGTTTCACTTAATATATAGACAAACCAATTACTTTTCATAGATTTTTTGTGTGTTTGTATTCCATATGTATCAATAAAGCAATCTGTCAATTTTTTTTGTATATGTTTTTTTTTTTATTTTTCTTATATTTGAGAAAAGTTAGTATTTTAAAAGTTACAATAATGTTGAAGTTCAAACGATACCTGACTCACAAAGAGAGCAAACAACAATAAATGTTAAGGATAATTGAGAATTACTAGAATAATCAAATAGATGGCTTTTATAGAGGAATTAGGCCATCTCCAACGGTTCATCAAACTTTGCATCAGATTTGAAATTTGGTGAAAAAGTCACTTTTTGGAGCTCCAATGGTTTCAGCAAATTGGTATCAAAATGAGAATGGAACAAAAAATTCATCAAAGTGAGAACAGGCTCCAGATTTCACTATTTTACTGTGCTTTACCGTTGGGGGAGACCAACCAGTCAACCAGTTGGATGTCTAGCCGGTTGACCAACCGGTCAATCGGTTCTCTTTCAAATAGGTAGGTTCAAACAGGTTAAAAAATAAATAAAAATTACCCTTATCGGTCAACCATTCCCTCAATTCTGCATATATTTTGTTCGACAGGTTTGATGCTCACCGTTGGAGAAAACCGTATCAAATTGAGAAAACAACTTATTTTTTACTCAGATTTGGTGAAAAAAGAAATGAACGGTTGGAGATGCTCTTAGAAAGTTTTACCATGTGGAAGAAATTTTAGTTTGGAAGCACGTATGACCAATTTGAGTCTTAAAACAATATGTCAACAAAAAACTTATCAAAGACTCCTATGTAGAGAGGACACTTTTGTTTTTATTGCCCTTTTCTTTCTTTCCATTTTTTTGTTTTTTTGTTTTTTTGTTTTTTTTTTTTGTTTTTTTGTTTTTTTTTGTGTGTGGGTGTGTGTGTGTGTAATCAAGCTGGCGGCCCCATTTTTTGTAATCAAACTCCAGTAGTAATGAAAATCACAATCTTTTTGCTCGCCATGTGCATGTGTCTTCAAATCATCTGCTTTGTTTTCAATTAGCTTATCGAAATAAAACTGATCAGTGAACTTTGTTGTGCCAAATTTGCACGTCGTCGAAATAAAACTGCTCGGTGAACTTTGTTGTGCTAAATTTGCATTTGCGTACATGTAAAATTCTTTTTCAAAATTGGGGAGCACAACTGTCTCCCCAGTGATCAAATTCATCTCGGTTCAAAGCAGAAGTTGGGCAAAACATCAACCTTTTCCCAGGGCGAGCAAAACCAGCTCAGTTTGAGGGATCCTTGAGTTTGGACAAAGCGTGTACTCATTTTTGGCGAGCAAAGTTAGCTCTGGTTAACGAGCAAAGTCAACTTGATTTTAGAGCGGAAGTTGGGCAGAACACCAACTTTTTTCCCGGGCGAGCAAAACTAGCTCGGGGGAAAGCGATTTCAGCTCAGTTGATGCAAAGGTTAGGCAGAACACCAACTTGCTTTATACATGAGTAAACTCAGCTCAATGATGGCGAGCAAAATCAATTCAGAGCAAGCGAACATGAATTTTGGCACCCGAAATGGCCTATAGCTATACCAAACATGCACAATTGGTACATGGAATGTAAATACAGAAGAAAGGCAGTCCCAAAATGAGCACTTTTCCAGTTTAAAGCATGGCCAAACAGTGGACAAAAACAGGGCAAAACAAGCATGCAAAAATGGGGATTAAAAGGGAGATAAAGAAGCAACTCACAGCTGTTGTCCCCAAACAGGTTCGGGCCCTTCAACAAAGTTGAAGAGGGGCCCAAAATATGATCTTTTACAGAACTGTAAAAACCCCCAAAACCAGCACAGGTATGGCTGCACTCTTGTGCAAGAAAAAGGGCGAAAAGATGGCCAAACAAGGAAGTGGTAGATACAAAGCCCAAACAGAAAAATACCCTTCTACAACGCTGACAAAGAGGCAAGTGGTATATGCAATGCCCAAACTGAAACATTCTCTTCTACAATATTGAAGAGGGACAAAAAATAAGCATATTTCCAGAACTGTAAAAACCCAAAAACAGTATACAAACATGCTATAAATGCAATGCAAAATGAGGCTCAAAAGTGGCTACAACACAAAGTATGCAAAATATTCCACAAACAGCCAAAGACCCTTAATGAAACATGTTAAGAAGGTCAAAATAAGGCCATCTCTAGGCCTGTAAATTGTCCAAAAATGGAAGCATAGTGGGCTGCCAAAGCATGCAAGAAAATGACATTCAAGGAGGGTATTGAAGCAAGTGCAAGAAGGAGGGCTCAAACAGGGTTGAGCCCTTAATGAAACAAGAAAATGAGCTCAAAACAAGGCCACTTTCAGTTTTGGTCGGAGCTCAAATATTCAAGAAAGAGAGGCTAAGAAATGATGCAAAAATGAGCTAGAAAAGAGGGAAAATGGACTCACCTTCGAAGACCAACACTCTTGTTGCTTCTTGGACCAGATTTGGTGACTCTAAGCTGCTGGAATCCCCTCCATTGCTGCTGGAATGGAGTGGTGATGGTAGAGCTTGAAGATGATGAAGAAATGGAGCCCAAAACTTGAAGGAAATGGGGTGATATGTATCTATCTCCTCCAAGCAACTCTTGTCACCCATTTTCTTGAGTTGGGAGGCCAGAAAAATCCCAGAGAGAGAGAGAGGAGTCTAGCCCAAAGTCTAGCCAAAATGAAGCCCCTTGTTCCCCCAAAAAATATCCCCCGGATACAGATATTTTCTGGGGGAAAGGGCTACACAGCTGTAAAGTGGAAGGAGAGAGGAACATGGCCGGCCACCTATTGGGCTTGGAAGTGGCCGGCCGGCCACCCCCCCTAGCCGGCCGGCTAGGGGTCAAAACCGGCCGGCCACTTCCAAGCCCAATAGGTGGCCGGCCATATTCCTCTCTCCTTCCACTTTACAGCTGTGTAGCCCTTTCCCCCAGAAAAGATCTGTATCCGGGGGATATTTTGTGAGGGAAAGTCTTGATCCTTTTCCCCCACCCTTTCCTTCCATACTCCCTCTCCTTTTGTCAAGTAACATTAGTGGCCGGCCACCAACTTTTAGTGGCCTCCCAGATGTGTAGATCACAGATATGTGGTTCAAAGTTCAAGAAAATGGTCCCAAGGTGTTCAACATTAGCCCGGAATGAGGGGTTCAAAAGGGTCAAATTGAATTAATGGCCGGCCACCACTTTTTAGGATCCTCCCAAGTGTGTACATTACAAATATGTGGTTGAAAGTTCAAGAAGATGGCCCCAAGGGGTTCAACATTAGCCCGGAAGTGTGAAAAACGGGCGTGGGAGGGCGTCGGAGGATGTATAACTGGTTGCTGCAACAATTGCTGGCCTCCCACCCTTCAGTGACCTTCCCTGTGATAAAACAGAGGTACCTGCCAAAAATGAGCGAAAACCGTTGCAAAACGAATGTTCCGGAGCCAAAACACGCAGTTCGGGGTCCCGGAAATGGGCTGTTAAGCACCGAAAATTGTATCTAACCTCGAAGTGGGTTTCTCAGCCCCCAGTGTCCCTCAAAATGGATGAAATAGGATGTATGCCAAAAATCAGAGCAATAGGAGATGGTTAAGCGGTCCCGAACCGAGGCACACGGCCTGACGGCTCCAAAAACCGAGAACCGGACTCCGAAATGGGCAAAATGGCCTACGGCCACCAAATGTAGCCCACGGCCACTGAGAGATGGTTTGCGGGACCTCTCCCTCCCCTCAGGAAAAGAAACAAAGAAAACCGAGCCTGGTTCGCAAACCGAGGCAAAGCACAAAAGAGGGTTCGGAAGTCCGGAGGCAGGGCTCACGGCCGCAACTCTGAAACTTCTGAACGAGCACATTATGCAACATCACCAAGCGCTCAATCAGTGACGTCTGAGTCTTAAGGTCGGTGAAAAATGGGGTGTCTACAG